ATTACTGAGTCCTTTTTCTTTGACACTTTGATTTCTGTTTTGGGGGGTTTTCGGGTTTTTTTGACCTATGGTCTTATACTTTTGATCAGCTAAAAAATCATGTTTGAGTGTAAATGCAGTTTTCAGAAAATTCCCTGCTCAAAAGTTCTTGTCTCTTGCACTGATTTCTTCTTTTAACATTGTGAAGCTCTTCTTAGAACCTTCTTAAGATCCAATAGTGCAAAATGCAAATTCTTGCACCTTTTTGACTGGTCTTAAGATTTTGATCAGGAGTGTATTATCGGTTCTGTTTGTTATGATATCGGACTGATAAGTATGACGTCATAATTCCCTGATATCGGGCCGATAACTATCGTGCACCCATATAAGAGACTAATGATTAGGATGTCAATAACTTTAATAAACAGGGAACTCATCCAGGATTACAATCAAGTGATCAGCAGTGGCAATACATGCTGCAAGTTGTTAGGTGGCATCGATGTCAGATCCTGGAAGTGAAGAAAGTCATCACCRAATGCCACTCTTCATGACTGTTTGTTCTCACCAAAAATGTGAACAATGACCTTTATTTATTTTATTTTTGCCTTGTAAGCTCATCCATCCATCAGCTTTTTTCTTTCAGGTTCATGGTGCCCACAGCAATCACTTGTCACAAGTCCATCATAAGGCCACATAGACGGGGACAATTTATTAGTTACCAATTTTGTTTTTGGAAGGAAGCCAAAGTACCTGGAGAAAACCCACGCATGCAAGGAGAGAACATGCAAACTCTACCCAGAAGGGTCCCTGGGCCGGGATTTGATCTGGCGACCTTTTTGCTGAGAGGCATCTACTCTACCAACTGAGCCACTACGCTGCCCCTTTGTTTCACTCTGTACTTCATATCTAAGCAATCATGTTGGCATGCACAAATGAGCTCAACCATTCTAATGTTCACCCCACATGTGGCAGTGGTTAGAAAAGTTGTATCGACACAAAATTTGGTACAAAGTGTTTTCTTTGCAAAAGGAACAGTTTTTTCAGGAAGCACCTTAAAAATGTAACATTTTCATTTTCGGCATACTGTAGGACCACCCTAATGCCATACATAACATCTAAGGATGATTTATTATGCCATAAGTAGTGTGAATATGATTTTGTTTGTGCTGTACATAACATCTGAGGATGATTGATTGCTTTGTAACATCTAGGGGTGTAAGAAAGTATTTATGATACACTGAAATATTGKGATATTTCTTTTACTGCTACTGTATAAATTCTCTGAAGCCCTTTATCAATTTTTAATCAAGTTTTAAAATGTAAACTTTCATACCAGCATATCATTCTTGTGTTGTAATTTTGCCTCCGGCCGCTAGCTGGCAGCAATCAGCCAGCCATTTGCTAGTTCAAATGTTACCATCAAATGTAAATATTTACA